AACAGCATTATACTTTTTAGTGTTCATTTTCCCCCTATTTGGGGGACTCTGATAATTACAGTTCTATGAAATCAAGACTATCAGTGCAGTATTTACCTTTATCCCCGGAAGTCCAGGAAGCCCAGGAAGCCCTGGTTCACCCTACACAGGAAAATCATACAGCATTATAGAATGATATTTTCTCAGTCACAGTATATGGAGAAAAACATGGCAAACGTTCCCAGCTGCATACTTTTGGCATATATAAATATATATTAAAAAAAAAACCTGTTTAGGTTCAAGAAGTCTAAGGAGATGGTGTAGTTCAGTCAACTCTTGATTCAAGGATTGGGTGATCCCTTTGCAGATTTTTCAGGATTTTCCCCTCTTCATGTAGTTTACTGCTATTTAGCATCTCTATCAGAAGGTAAGAATGAGGAGTAAAAGGAAGAGGAACAGCTATGTGTTTCACTCTTTGGTAAACGGTTTGCTAGAGCTATTTGCTAAAATGGGGATTATGCATGCACTTAAATAATGCCTCCTATTCCAGGACTCTCACCTCAGATAATCAAGAGTTGGCTGTATGAACAGATGGTCACATCACAGCAATATACATTAAAAGTATTGCTCACTTAAAAGTATAGTAAGATTTCCTTTCCATTCCTGAACGATGAGAGGATAAATAAACAGTTGAGATTGTACTTAACTCTGGCCTGTAGTTCTGACAATTGTTGAGTTGGGGCAACCGTGCTTAGCAGCTTAGGGCTAATGGTACCATGCAGCTGTTCCTGAATACAGGTCTGAGATTAAGTGGTACATATTGCGTGAGCATACTGGAGTCAGGCTAAACCTTCTCATTTTCACAGAATTGTCTACATTATTTTAAGCACAAAGTATAGTGGCAAGAGGTTACATTGTTTAGAAAATCTCCTGAATTCCAATAAAGAAGCATAAAGGAACGACAGGAACAAATAAAAAGTCTGCCCTGAGTTGGGAATGATAACTATGATTGGAAATAACATCTGAAGCTAAAAGAATCCATTCCATAACAGCCAGTCAGTGGGACAAAAATCATTCAAAATTACAGAGGAACATCAATAAAGTGGGAGAAGGAGGTACTTTTTAAAAAGTATCTCATTCCTTTAAGAATACTCATTCCAAGATAACTCTAACAGGCACAACCAGATTTTCCATTTTGAATATTAATACTTTCAAGTTATGAAGAGCCATAATTTTCTCTAGTCTTATTATGAAATGATTTCAGATACTGTTTATTAAACTGTGGGATTTAGACCAAAAAAAAAAAAGACAATGATTTTCTTTATGGTTTAGGTTTAAGGTTTTTCAGGAATGCAAAAGAAAAACTATTCAGTCCATAACTACATAAATAAAAGTTTGCATTATGAATAAGACTAAAATGAGATTAAGCCAGAAAAGAGAAAATGATTATTAGGAACTTGTTATTCCAAAGACTACTTGTCTGAGTAGATTAAACTTGACACAGTTACATTATACATTTGATTTTCTTTTCTCTTTCCCTTCCACCATTAAATTTAAGAGGCTCCGCTAGGAAAAGCTTGTATACACATTCTGCTGAAGACTCTTTTACTTTAAAAAAACAAAGCATAAGATAGTTGATAATATTTAATTGCAGCAGAATGTATAACCAGTAAAACTATGCATTGTTTTAGAAAAATCTCCCCAAAATTCATTTTGGATACATCGTACCTGAAACAGTGGTGGTCATATATAGGTAATGACACAATTTTTCAATAAGAATTATATTCCATTAAAAGTATAGTAAATGAACATATATAATAAACGAACACATACTCTTATTTTCTAATAATAAGAAAGATGTATAAAACATCATGAAATATATCTCCTAATGTAGATTAAATACATTGAGACTTGAGCATTCAGCCTTTCTCTACATCATATTAAATGTACATATGTATGTGTGGTAGGTAGAAAATATCCTTTTTAGTAAAATATATTTTTGAATCTCATACTCCACGGTCTTGAATTTTTATAAACTGACCTTTACAAATTTATATTTACTTTGTGTAACTAACTCACATATGAAAGAATATATTTAACATTATCCTTTGTGGACTATCTCTTGACATTTTTAGGAATACACTTCTTCCTGTATAATTCTCCATCATTAAACTATGAAAGCTCATCTTCCAACTAAGGGATAGTGTTCAGCAAACTTCTCCACCTTGTCTATGCCTTGGCTCAGAGGCTTCTTTCTCTGAGTTCTTGGGCATGTAGCTGGTGGGTCAGAATGAAGAATTAATTTGTTATTTCATTCTCAAAATACTTGTTCAAGAGATTAGTCTTTACACATAAATCTTGTCCTTTTGATTCTATTCTTGCTTTCCCTCTTACTCTCCATTGAGAGACCCTCACATTGGGGACTCCGTTTCCCTGCTCATCCCTGCAACAGGGCCCTAGGCTTCTAGGGAGAGTTCTGGGTGAGATCCCTTCTGATGGGAAATCAAGTGACGTGACTTTACAATAAAAACATATGCTTTAAAAAGCTGTAGAGACATTAGGTAGGAAAGAGCTCTGTGATGAAATGCAATGCCTATTTTACAAATCTACACACTCACTCTACAAGCCTACGCACACTCCAACTCACATGCCAATCACACATTCCACTGTTGAAGCTATCAAAGAAAAAAAATCCAATGAAATCATTCCTCCATTATGAATATGGATCTAGATGTCACACAGTAGGCTTCCTGCTGGGCTTATACTGTGTCATGACAATTTGTACTTTTCTGGGAGTGCATTAAATTTAGAGGCATTAGTGCCATTGAACTCACAGTTCTGCAATGTGAGAAAAATGCCATGGAAGATCTCTAGAACTGACCCTGTACTCATTTTAACCTGAGCACTAAGCATAGAAATCTTTACTTTTAAATCAACCTTGGGATAAGCATTGCCAATTGCCGATATCAGATACAGAAGTCATACTGGGAAAGTGAGATTGTATCAAAGGGTAGAATTTGGTCATTTCAGGACACATATTAACTAAGAAGGGTTGTAAGATTTTAAATGAATCTATCCTTTTCCAATGTAACCCCAAACTGACTTTTTAATAAAATGCAAAGGAAATCCAATGTTTCTATGTGTAAACCTAAAAGCTTCCAGAATTAGCCTAAATTTGATTTCTAATTAATCATGATAAGGCAATGTTTTATTAAGAAATTGAAGATCAATTTGGTTCTTCCACTCTGAAAAAAAGTGAACCCTATACAATATTATAGCAGAGTTTCTTTTGGCTTGTATTTTAGAGACACAAGAATCTTGCAGACATTTCTTTGAGCAAATCACAGATTTGTAGAACA